GCAGTTAAGCATTGATTTGTTGGAAAATAAACAGAAAAAAGCAAAGAAAGGCATCTGCCCAAACAGCCTGAGCTGGTTTGACAGAGCGTTCATGCCAATTTGTTTTTCCTATAAAAATCAAAGAAAAACCTGCGCTTTCACTTTGGATGCTACCCTCCCACTCCCTCAGAAGAAAAGGTGGTATCGAAGAGGCCAGCCAGAGCTGGCAGGGCCAAGGAGCCAGAAGACACTGTACTTTTCCAACGGCTGGCTCTGTGAGGGCGCTGAGGGGTGTCCAAGATCTGCAGAATGACATGGCCAGACTCCAGCCAGCCCAGGTTAAAGATCCTGAGTCAGATTAACAGGGGCGGAGAAGGGGCTGCTGGGGTATGATCAAAACCCAAACCACACTCTTCCAAATGGTTGACTTCTGAAAGTCAATATGGTTCAAGTAGTAGGTGTGGCCTATGGGTACCTCCCTAAGCAGAGACTCAGCCTGCTTCTCCCAAAGACTTCATCTAGCCCTGGGCAGCAAGCATAGTTTGAAAACTCCAGGTCCCTGGACCATAGCTTTCCCAGTGGGGAAGAGAGGTTAGCCATACCTACCTCCAAGGCAAGATGTGTAGACTCACTCACATCCCACCAAGCAACTTGATGTGTCAGGTCCCCAGTGGAAAGGACCTAAAATGCTCACAGTGTGATGCCTGCATTAATTCAAGCATCATCGCGCTCTCATTTCTCAACAGTCTGTCAATATCACATGAGGAGCTCAAGCCACAAAGGGCCACAAAGAGCTAAACAAATCACTCAAATGGAGATCATGACAATACTAATTAAGCAGTGGCATCATCACCCACCCTTTAACACACAGTGTCAGAAGAAGCCTCTTAATATCTCTTTTTAAGCCTTGAGCAGAAAGCCTAGGACGTGGGCCAGGCTCACTGTTCCCCGCGATGACCACCTCCCCTCAGCTTTCTCTCGGCTGTTGGGCCTTCATTATCACCAGACTACTGGCTGAATGGGGGAGTCACAGCAGTGGGGGAAGGCCTCGGAAACGCCGCTTCTCAAGGAGCGTTACGAACAAGGTGTTCCGACAGAAGAGGGCTATGGCTGGCTGAGCATTCCCAAGCATTCTTGTCATGAGCAGGGCAGGGAGTGGAGTGCCTTGGAACCAAACTGGGCAGCCAGAAAAATAAAAGATTTAACAACACCCTCAGTTGACTGAAAAAAAAGTAAGACCAAGGACGCAAGAATGCGGGAAGGGTGGAGGGAGGTAAGAGGTGGGAACCGCAGCCAGGGAGGGGTTGGGATGGACTGGGACAATGGATTTGACCATGTTGAGCTCCAAATGTCTTCCCAGAGAAAGACTAAGATGACCCAGCCAAGGAAAGATCAACAGCCACCAATTTCGAATCTCACAGACTGTATAATTACAAAACAACAGACAAAATTATGACGAGGATGATAGTTTATATTTATTGAGTGTTAATGTTGTGCCAGGAATTGAGCTAGGCTTTACGGGAATTTCCTCACTCAATCCTTGCAAGAGCCTCAAATGTTGGTACTAATATTTGCCCCACTTTACAGGTAAGGAGGCACAGAGAAGTTAAGCAACTTACCCAAAGACACAGAGCTAGTAAATGGACTGGATATATTATAATAAATGTATTGGAGTGTGGCAGAAAAGTGCAATACAACTCTTGTAGCTTTGAAAATGCATCCTTGTATTTCCAAAGACGAGGAAGATGTCTCTTTAGGATCGCTTACTTTTATTTTTGAAGTTGAGATCCTTTAAGTACAGATCCTTTAATTTTTTCCCTAAATGTGAACAAGAGGCCTAATATGAAAGTTCTCTTAGTGTCCATCAGTGTGGATGCTGCAGAAGCACCAGCTCACCGCCACGCAAATCCATTTGTCAAAACTTCAGCCTGGCTTCCTGTTGAAAGGCCCAGACTGACTCAGGAGTTGGGCTTGGCTGCTTGAAGCCACCTCAGACTTATTAGCCATGATAAAAGAGCAATAATAATAACAAGGAAACAAACTGTTGAAAAACTAAGGGAAAATTATGCCTCCTTTGGAAAAGCATCTGACGACTGAGCTGTCACACACAGGCCCTGATGTCAGACCTGCTGTGTTGTGGATGTCACACCCGCAAGGGGAGGACTGTGAACGTGTCACTCTGGGAGCCTGCATTCCATCACTCAGAGAAGAACTCTAGGGAAGTCCACCCCGTCCTCCACCAGGCGCATGACCCTGCAGCAGTTTGTAAAAACGTAGCCGTAACACACAGACAGAACTTCATTAGACTCGTTCCAGTATCATCTTTGCAACTTAAGAAACAAATAATATCTGAATTTTCTCACGAATTAGAGCATCTCCTCTTTGGAAGAAGTAGGATTTTCTCTTCGTACAGGCAATCATTAAACGACAATTGACAAGAAAGCCGCGTTCCTTTTTAGTGCCATCCTACAGGAACAATAGAATCTCAGCAACCCAAGTCTCATTTTTCCTTCCAAAACACACTTTGCTCCGCGTCTCCTAGCTCACTGGCCTGTGGATTAAGCCCTCTGGAAAATAACAAATGAAAATACTCCTCAACAAGGCAAGCAACTGCCTATCAGAAATGTTTTCTAAGGAATCAAATCCCTTCCAGCCGATTATTCATCCCTCCCATTGCTTCAGTGGACACCTTTGACACTCAAACAAAATGACCCAACTCACCAACTCAAAACACCCAAGGTCTGTTAGATGACCACGATGAGGATGAGTAGGGGCTCTCCCAGCAACTTCCCGGCTTGCTGGCTTCCCAGCATCAGGAGCTGTCACATGTTTGAATAATTTCATCACATCCAGAGGGAGGCCCAGCTACATAATTTGCAGGGCTTGGTGCAAGGGAAAATTTGGAACCCCTTGTTCCAAATGTATTAAGAATTTCAAGACAGCCACAACAGAGCATTAAACTGAGCACAGGTGCTTTCTAAGTGTTGGACCCTGTGTGACTGCAGTTGCTCTATCCCACTGATACCGGCCCTGTCCCAGGGGTCAGTCCCAACTTTTGCCTTCACCTGTACCCTTGCTCTATCATCATGGAAGGCAGGGGGAGTCTTTGCTGTCTAAAGCTTTTCTGTCTAAAGCTCCTAAAGTAGTTAGGAGAATTAAATGAAATACGACATTGAACATGCCTGTAACAGCACCTGGCTTACAGCAGGCACTCAACAAATGTTAGCTAGCATTATTATTGTTGTTGTTATTATTATTATTTTCATTATGCCAAGGTCCCTCGACAACTCCAAAGCTACCCATAGGCAAGAATGATGGGTGGGAAGAAAATACACCCCATTTCGACAGAGACCCTCTATTAGCTACTGCTGTTCAGAAGTCATTTCATTAGCTCTGTGTGAGAGTGCTATAAATTAGGCATTCTCAGCCTTCTCTTTATACCATGGACCCATTTTACGCAGTCTGCTGAGGCTTATAGACCCCTTCTCAAAAAAATGCTTTTAAAATGACGAAGTAAAATAATAAGATTAGAAAGGAAGTTTATCTTGAAATACAATTATCAAAATACTTTAAAAATAAATGTGTGATATCATAACAACATATGGGCTTCTTTATTAGTACATTAAACAAGAATATCTAATGCAGGTCCAATAACTTCCGTAATATCAAAGTAGTGACGAATAGTGATATTTTGAGACATCTGTAACAAGTATCACATGATATGAAAATATCTGTAATTTCTCTTGGTGCCATTCAGTTACAGCTATTGCTACTGGGGAGTTTTGCTTACATTCATACTGAAATTGAATTGAATTCACACTGAATGTTGAATTTTAGTTAGATTACTGAAAATAAACATGTAATTTTTTTTTCCCACATCCAAGTTCACAAACCCTCTGATTTCTCCCCAGGGACACTAAGAGATCTTTGGATCCCAGGTTAGGAACCCTTGCTGTTTTACAGCAAGGACTGCTTGTTCAATTCAAATAGCCTCTTGAGACCACTTCCACATGGCCAGAAGCCTCAGTTGAACAATTTACAGGAGGCAGACCCTATAGTTCTTTGGCAAAATAAGTAGGATTTTTTTTTTTTTTCGGTATGCGGGCCTCTCACTGTTGTGGCCTCTCCCGCTGCGGAGCACAGGCTCCGGACGCGCAGGCTCAGCGGCCATAGCTCACGTGCCCAGCCGCTCCGCGGCATGTGGGATCTTCCCGGATCGGGGCACGAACCCGTGTCCCCTACATCGGCAGGCGGACTCTCAACCACTGCGCCACCAGGGAAGCCCAGGAAATTTTTTTAAAGCCTCTAGAATACCCAGAGTAAGTAATGCCTTAGCTGCAGTGGCCAGTAGCTATCTGGAGACACTCAAGAATTTAAGGGTGGGCTTCCCTTGTGGCACAGTGGTTGAGAGTCCGCCTGCCGATGCAGGGGACACGGGTTCGTGCCCCGGTCCGCGAAGATCCCACATGCCGCAGAGCGGCTAGGCACGTGAGCTATGGCCGCTGAGCCTGCGCGTCTGGAGCCTGTGCTCCGCAACGGGAGAGGCCACAACAGTGAGAGGCCCGCGTACTGAAAGAAAAAAAAAAAAAAGAATTTAAGGGTTGAGCAACATATATAAAGTTGCAGTTAACCATGTGAACTGCTGGGAGGGAGATCAGTTTCTCCTGGAGGCCCCTACATGCCAGGCATCAAGACGGGATAAAAACATGCTATGTACCTACCCCAGGTCTTCCTTGGAACTGCCATGGGTGGTGGTTTGCAGCCAGTTCAACCCAAGGCTCCATTTGGAGTTCTCGGCTTCACATGGCTCATCCCATCTCCCTGCTGCCCACCTTCCCCACTGAAAACCCCATTGCAGTTCTTCCCCAAGGTCACAGTGCAGAACCAACATCGATCACTTTGAAAAACAAAATTCCAGAATTATTATCAGCCACTCCTAGTCAATAGCACCTCGCTGAAAACACCCATGTTGAGCACTGACCCTCCAATTCCGTTCCACAAATTACTAATTGTTTCCTCACAAGCATTTGTCCAGGTGCTTTCAGAATCTTTGTCTAATTTAATCCTTACAACAGCCTGTGCAGATGTTATTAACCCTATTTTCCAGATGAGGAACTTATAGTCTTGAGCTTACATAATTCACCCAAAGTCACTCAGCTACTCGGTGGCAGAGTCGAAGGTGAACCCAGGTATCTTGACTCTAACCTCCATGTTCTTTGTACCACATTCCAGCTGCTTCCAGGCAACAAAAACTCGTAGCCCCCTGCTCCTTCAGATACATAAGCAGCCAAAGTCTACTCTTCACCAACGTTCCTCAGTCCACAGCCTCTGGCCAATGGAGTTAAGACAAGCGAAAGGTAAGCTAGGTGCTCTCTGATTTTCTCAGTGGACATAATTGAGACAGAGGCTGAATTTGGGCCAAATCTAAGGTCCTTTGCAGGGGCTTCCCTGGTGGTGCAGTGGTTGAGAATCCACCTGCCAATGAAGGGGACACGGGTTCAATCCCTGGTCCGGGGAGATCCCACATGCCACGGAGCAACTAAGCCCGTGCGCCACAACTACTGAGCCCGTGTGCCACAACTACTGAGCCTGTGCTCTAGAGCTCATGCTCCACAACTACTGAGCGCATGTGCCACAACTACTGAAGCCAGCGCGCCTAGAACCTGTGCTCCACAACGAGAGAAGCCACCGTGCGCACTGCAACGAAGAGAAGCTAGGGCTTTCTCCGGTTTCTCGCCGCAACTAGAGAAAGCCCGCACGCAGCAACGAAGACCCAACACAGCCAAAAATAAATAAATAAAATAAATAAATTTATTTTAAAAAATAATAAAGTCTGTTGCAAAGAAAACATCTTATCAGTAGTCACCCTGCAGACAAGGCTGAAATAATCTTCACCTTTCAGACCCCACTTACCTCATCCAATAGGATATATCATTAGCCCTACTGAGGGAATTTTTTAAAGGTTCCCAAGAGGGATCCCCCCAGAAGATTTCTATGAGACAGTCATATGCTCCAAGCTCCACTGTCATACACAAAAGTAGAAGACCGTCTTCCTATTCCAAAAAAGACTCAATAGACTTTTGGAAGAAGTCTGCATCAGGCAGAGAAAGGGCTGGCAGGCAGACTAAAATTTCTCAGGTCCACAATTGGACCCATAAAGATCTAGCCCCCAAGATTGTTTATGTGGTGTCTATAATATAGAGTGAGGGGGATGTGACAGAACAGGAAATTTTGAATTCAACACAATTACAGCAACATCAAAGAAACTGTACATCTAGACAAGGTCCTACGAAAGTAAAAATAGTTATTTTAATAGTGGGGTTCAAGAGGTAGTCTAATAGTCCAATAATCAGAATATTATAGGAAGCATTTGGGCTCCTTTTGATTTGGGGCTTGGTTTTCATCAGAAAGCAGATTTGGAATGCACCTCTGCTGGCCACATTTTAAATAAATAGGCAGATACCCTTAATAACAACGAAGATGCTCCTGCAAAAGGACAGGAAGGAGGCTCTAAGGGCCGGGGTGTGGGGGAAGATTGGAAGAGAAGAGATAATGTGAATCCAGTGAACCAGAACAAGGGGCTCAGCCCCATAAAACAAACCGAAGATAGAGTGTGCTTAGGTGCTAGTGAAATCAATTTTCAAAGAAATATTTTACAAGGTATCTCTTTGAAAACAAGGCCAATTAAAACCCTGGTAGCCTCTTTAAATGGGCCATCCTACTTGAACCTGTTGCAAGCTTTGGTTGCTCCAGATTCGGGCTGAGGGCCTCTGGGAAGACCAGGCTCTCCAGGTGGGCTGCCCAGTGGCTTGGCCAGCCACGTTCCCCTTCTGATGACCCCTCGGGTCTTCCTCTCGGAGAAGTGAGTCCATGTCCATCCAATCTACCCAATAATTCATGGACAGTCAAATGAACTGAGCAGCCTCCACGGGGTCCTGAGCGTTCACTTTTCAGCCGGCTGCTTTCGTGTTTTACAGAAGACAGCATTAGAGTGCCTACCCGTGGACACCAGTGGCTCCCGGTGGTCACAAAGCAGTCAGCTGCATCCACTTCTACACTGGCACCAACTTCAGATAAATGAGGCAATTGATAAAGGTGGGATGTTGTCATGGGAACAGCTCAAGCACCCCTAGTAAAGGTATCTAGTCTTTAGTACCTCCACCAGGTACATCCCTTGGCCAAAATTCTGAAGACCCCAAGGAAGCCACTTAAGGGCTCCTACTGGTCTTCTTTCCTGTCTCATCCTTAGGAAGGCATCGCCCACCCCATTCTCAGCTTTCACAGACTCAGGCTAAACCTGCTGACCTCTAGGCATAGCTAGGTTCCCCGGGTCATCAGATTCCGAGGGCCGAAGTGTATCTTACGGATGATCGGGTTCAAACTCCTTTGTCCAAATGAGGAAACAAAAGCCCAGAGAGGTGGAGTGTACTGCTCTGGGAGCACAGCTTTGCTGGGACTACAAAACCAGGTCGCCTGACTGCCAGTCGCATGACTGTCCTGCACCCTGCCTTGCCCACACCATGCTCCAATCACTCAAAAACTCGAGTCTGGAATTCTTCAAGGAAGATTCTTAAAGAAATATCTTTTTTTCCCCCCTCTGAAGTCCAATAAATTTTTTATCAAATAACTCTGAGGGATCCATGGAAATTTCTACTCCAGCACATCTCAGCTTCCCGACATCAAAGCCACTGAGCTTGAACATATGCCCCATCCTAACATTAGCTGCTGTGGGAAGCCATCCTCCCCCACTGCACTCTTTGTTTCCTGCACAGCTTAATAGTCTGGGCTTTATAAACCTGTCCGATTTAAATAAACGTAATAGTCACATATGTCTAATAAGAGCACAATTGCAGCTCCTCAAAACGAATCTGATGATTTAAAATCCTATTATGAAAAATTAGATAAGAAAACATTAAATAAAGTTTATTATCTTCCCTGTCTCTTCAGTTATTCAGCAATAGATTTAAGAGAACTCCAGCACCATACGGCTGCCTCCCTGCCTCTGTCTTCAGGTGACAACCCCCAGCTCAGACAGAGCCGGTGTGGCTCACCCAGGCTGACAGCCCCGCACAGTCAGTTACCCAGTAACAAAGCCAGGATTAGAAGCGTGGTCTCAAACACCAAGGCTACATGGAGCCCAATCCTCCCGACTGGCCCCTCCCACAACAGAAATGATTGTCACTTAAATTCTACCGGAGAGAGACCCTAACGAGGGAAATAGGCTGAAACGGCAGAAAAAGGTATCACCGAAAATCAGCTTCCGACTTTATATTTGATTCCTCAAAACCGTGGCGTTGCTTCTCAAGTGTGTTAGCAATTTCTACCACGGCGTTCTTGGTATCCACCCTACCCCATCTCCCAGAGGTCTTTGAAAATCCCATCTGTTCAAAAGGACTTAAGGAGGACTCCAACTGGAGGAAAGGGGGGAAAGACTGAATCACTTTTTAACGATTTGTATAAACCTCTATGGCTGGGCTTGATGCTTTAACATTAAACAGGGCTCCTACACTGAGTTTTCAAAAAGGAAAGAACACAGCCCAGTGCTAACTCTAATTTGGGGGTGGAGGTATAGGTGGGGATGAGGAAAAGTAAAACGTTACAAGATTCCAGTTATAGGAATGGGGAAAAAAATCAAAAGGGGGTTGTTTGAATTTAACAAACAGATGCTTTTTAACACAAAAGAACAAATATAATTGAATTTGAGATCTTTCATACATATGAGGCCTGGATCAAAGGCATCACCCTACCCACAACCACCCTAAGAAGGTCTCAACTAACTCCGCCACTTGGAACAGTAACACAAGAGAACTTACAGCACGGTTGTTCCCTCAAAGTTACTTTCTTCTAAAATGCCTCTGTAAAATGGTTTGGAAACATGGAGGATTGTCTCCATTATATTTATTATTTTTTCAAGTGTGATCACACACTTCCAAATGACCCTCATTCCATGTTCCCCCTGTTTTTTAAAGTCTATCCATATAAGCCATGAGTGATGGTGTGGGACTAATGTGATCCTACCCGACTTCAGATTATAAGATGGAATTGATGAGTTATTTCGTAGTCTCAGAATTCTAGGTCTCAAAAAGAGGATAAATGGAGCCTTCTGCCAACTCCAAATACAGCTATTAAAGTCATTCTTTTCCTTTTTAAGAATGAAAGATTATTCACTGTTATAGAGCTCCGGAAAGTCATTCTTAAAATCTCTTAACAGCCTTTCCTGGTAGCATCTCTTACCCCTGAAGTTCTACCCAGTAACACGACTTCATCTCTCCTGTTGGAAATCAACTCTTCCCTTGACCTCAGTGGAATTAGCACATGGCCACTCTTGATCCCCAACTCTGCTTTTATGCAGTGAAAGGCTCTATCTAAACACATCTTCACAGCCATGCCTATAGAACCAACTCCTGAATTAGACCTTCCACTGAAAAGTTCTCAAGTCCAAACACTCACTCACTTTATCCCTGTTACTAAGGTCAGTGCAGATAGCCAGCAAGACACCTGTGAACTTAGACTCACAGAAGCTTTATGCTTCATCATAACAAGACACATGCTCCCACAATCCTAGGAGTATCCTAAATCTTAGCAAAGACGGATGGTGAAAATGTCAATTTCCTGACTCGGCGTTGTCATTTACCAGCAAGAAGATTAACTCCCCACTGTTTCCAGTTCTATCCACACGTAGGGCAATTCTTCTCCATCGTGTCCAAACAAAATCAGAAGAGCCCCTGTCTTAGAAGGCATTTGGGGCTGCTGACTCACATCTGGCTGTCTGGTGATACTATCCCATCATGGAACAAACAAAGGGTCAGTTTGTCCCCACGTGAAATGACAAAACTCTTTGCCAAAATTGTTTTTGTTTTTTTGTTTTCTGGACAGAGATGTGCAGCTCTCCCCAATAGCCTTCCCTACCTGGGCTGCCTGACCACTTTTTCCAGTGTGGGTGCATACACCCTTGCCTGTTTCCAGCCATTTTCAAACACCAGAATATAATGAAGATAGTCTGCCTTTCTCTACAACTAATGTAATGAGTCAGAAAAACTACCAACAGAAGACATCTCTAGAAAGTGAGAACATGTGCCCTGAGCCCCAATAGCTATTCAGCCAACCAGTGCTTCACTGAGAAGAACCTATCCCCAGCTTTCAGAATTTCAGAATTCAACCCAGGGAAATGGCTTTGTCACAGAAAGAGAG